TAAACAGACATCTCCAGTGGGAGTTGGTTTTGAGCAGATCTCGGTCGAGGAGCTCAGGCAGATTCATTAAAGAGCTGGAGTAGCCATGTTCACCACGTGCGGTGAACTCATTAAGTTCACAGGCAGTCAGAACCTACTGTTCGAGAGTGCTGTGTCCTTCTGAAGGAGTTTGTATCAAACTGTGAGACTTGACAGTCAGCTGACTTAGTGTTTGTTCATTCTTTCTACAAAATTTCACAAAGGACACACTTAAATATTGGCAACTTAAGCTTTTAGGATCAGATAGCACATGGGTTTTTCTCCTAATAACAAACAATGAAAGATTATGAAATCATGTGTTTGGTTTTGTTGAATTGGAGTCCACAGATCTAACTCTGCCTTATTTTGAGTATTGCTTTGGGCAGTAGAGTTGGGGATCTGTTTGGGCCATGAAGTTGTATATTCTGTAATAGGAATTCAGTTTATTGCTGTAATGGATGCAAACTCATTACAAGGTCTAGGCCACAGGGGATACTTTACTTTGCTGTGGAAGTCATCTGAACTGGACAATCTTCAGTGCAACTGGCCATGCCCTTCCATGTCAGTGACTGACAGATCTAATTCTGCTTTTGTAGCCGACAGCCTATTAGTTAATGGAGTCCTGAATATTGTTACTCAGAGGCAGCCTTCAGAGTATTAAAATGCATTATTCCTGTTCTTCGCTTGATATTTATCAAACAAGGTGTTAGATCTAATGAATTTAATGCTATTGTCAAATACTGTGTGTAGATCATGACTTAAAAGAAACGGTAATATAAGTAGCTTCATTGTTGCTTTGCAGTGATGGAGAGAGATGGGTTTAGTTTGCTTGTTTAAATCCTATATGATGGAAACCCAGAGTGAATGTCTTCTCTGAGGGAACAGGAAGCATTATGAGTGATATGATCAGATTAATAAGATCCTTAGTACATATATATTTAATATGGGTCTCTATTTCCCTCCCCCCTACCCCCATTTCTTACATGGAAGCAGATAAAATGCAGAAGCAGCAGTACTGCCTTGGAAGTACCATAGTAGGTTTCCTTTTATAATTATCATTCTTGGCATATTTATCCTTTCTTATGGAAGTGAAGATGTAGATATTTAAGAACCCTTCTTGCACAAAAAAGCCCAATTTCCGCTCAGTACTTAATTAGCACTTGTTTATGACACAGCATCTGATTTGATTTTCGAAACAAATTGCACAGTAAAGAGGCTGATATTTAAACTGTATAGTAACCACAGCTCCAGCTGTGACTCAAATCTTGTAAGCCTTCAGGGGTTGTGTTTAGGCTTAGAAAATAGGAACTCAGGCCTGTAATTAAATGTCCTCTGAAAATCAGCCATGGTAGAGAAGTGGAGAGGGTACCACTGAATTTTAAATTACTAACTTGTTCTCAAGAATCATTCTGCTGTTCTGGGCTTTGCTAGGGACTGCAGAAATCAAATGGATTAAAAATGGAAGAGTAGATTACTAAAGGAGAAAAAGTCAGGGGTTGCAGACAAAGAAATGAGAAAAGTAAGCTATTTTGGCTCCCCAGTTTATAGACAGATGCAATATATATAATGCTAATATATGGCTAACATACAGAAAACAAGTTCTGTGGACACCAGAAAGACTAGAGAGTTAAGATTTCATACACAGTAAAATTGCATTTCAGAACTGTGAGTAAGGTGCTGATGGTTGTGGAATAAGCCATCTGGGATAATGGAAGGCTCATTTTTAAAGCAAGGCCTCAATAATAAACATGAATGTCTTGGAAAAGGAAATAAACTAGGTTAGATTACAAATTAGTCACTCACCTAAATCAAAATGTGAAATATTCACAGAATAGCATGATATAAATTAGCAGTTAGAGTGCTTTCAGAGTTACTTTTTGAGGAAAGCAATCACTACTGATGCTATTGAAAAGGAGAGTAAAATTCCCCTAGCAGCCTGACTTCTAGTCAAGGAAAATGCTGGAGCTGATGCTAAGAGAAAATACTGTGCTTATGAATGGTATTGAACCATGAGCATAAATGATGTGTGGCCATGAAAATACAAAAATGAGTAGGTCTTGCGGGGCAATTAATTGTATTGCTGGTAGAATTGCTTTGAATGGGTCATAATCAAGGAAGATTTTAGTGTTGATTTATAAATTAATACAGCTTCCAAACAAGACCATTTTCTGGATCCCATGTATTTTTAAGGCTGGGGAAAGGGGGGCTTTTTTATTTTATTTTTTAAAATTGACAGTCCTCTTACAGTCCTGTCTGCTGTCATTGGGATACTGCAATTCAGAATATTGTAACCAGATATATTACTTTAATTGCCTCTCTTTGCTGAAGAATGCATTCCTCAGGGTCATTTACAGTGTACCTGGGAAAACCACAGAAATTTATAATTTAGGAGATTGGCTGAACTTTTAGAACCAGTCATCAGTTGGAGAAATTTTAATTAAATTATGCTTTTCTGCTGTGCTTGTTTTGATGTAAATGGGGGCTCACTTCTGCAAATATCCCACCTTAATGGCATAAGCAGAAGTATGTAGGTAATGACACACATACCTTGTACTGGTAAAATTTGCTTCTCTCCTGTGTAGTCTCTCATTTCTTCTTAAATGATAGTAAGTTTATCAAATGAGGAGAGGAGACATACCTCATTGAGAGGACTTTGCAAATACAGTGTTGAGGGATGAGTGATGGGTCTTAGTTTCTCCTATTTTTATGTTTCACTTGTCAGCATTGAAAAATAAATTGGGTTTACAGTAGCTGCTAGTCTGACAAAAGTCCTGATTTCTTTCATTACAATATTCAAGCAACTTTACTTTAAAGTCACAAAAAAATGTGCTGGGGAGAGTTGTCTAAATAGAAATACAGAGTTATCTTTGATGCTGGAAACAATTCTGCTGAAGAGTAATCCTGTTGCTGGCAACAGATTAGTTAATACACTTACATATTTGCAGGGCCAGGGTCTTCAAATTAAATGGTCCAAGTCAGTGTCTTTAAATAAATTATTCAGACTACTGTGGACTGGTGGGCTAGCAAGTGTTAAGGAGCCCGCTGGTCTGAAGAGCTTGACTGTTATTGTTTAATTTGTAGGTTAAGTGACAGAAACAGAAACAAATGAAGTAATTTTTCACAATTTATTGTGAATACAATTTGTTTCTAACATCACAACAACCTATTCAGGTCTCTCTACATGTGACACTGATTTCAAATGATTGTTATTTCTACTTATGAGTACTTCTAGTTTTTTTCCTGGATAGATATATATGGGCTATGCTACTTTGAAAAAGAAACTGAAGCACTTGAGGCAGAAGGTAAAATGTGTATTTCTGTAGTGCTCTTGCTAGATATACAGCACTTCATATAGTTTTTTCCATTTCTAAAGCACATAGAAATCTCAAGAGCTCCTCTCAGCAAACCTGTGAGGTGGGTTAAATGAGTGTTGTCCCCATTTTACAGTCGTAGAGAGACTAACCACCCATGACGTTAGTGCTGAAGGAAGGCTTAGGTCTTGGAGGATGATGCTTCTAGCGGTGTGAGAAGTCTCCTAAAACATAGTTTGTTAATGTGTTAAGCATTGCAAGTCCAAACGCAGCAGGTGAATGCAGTAACCAGACATACTTGACTTTAATTTATCACACAATGATGGTTATTAAAATTCATGTTCAACTGAGATCATTGGCTAGGACACTGGGGCATAATCTTACTCCTACTTTGAAAGATTTAGGAGGATTTAAATTCAAACTGGAGAGAAGCAAGAATAACAAGTGCTTAAAGTATACTGTAAAATCCTGAGTGTGTACTTCTCTTTAGACGCAAAATTTTAGTCTGCTCTAGTTCTTACTTTATTTTCAAATTCAAAGGCTGCCCACCATAGGTGTGAAGGTTTGTCATTCAGCCATAACACTTTTTTTCTCTCCAACAAATCTTATTTCCTGGAGTTACAAGTACCAAAGTGGATGCAGTTTGTACAAACTAAATACTGTGTTGACTCAAGAACAAGTGAAAGTAAGCTTATCTTTAATAGAGCCATTCTGAAAATTAGTAAGATTTTTCCAACCTTCCAGGAGGAAGGAGTGGTAGGGGCACACATCTGATTTGGAGGGGAGGTACTGTGAATTAAGAAAGGGATTGTGAAGTAGTTTCACGGAGTAAGAAAAATCTCTGGACTTGGTGTTTGCAGATGCTCTGTCTGATCCTGTTGCTTAGATGTGATTTTAATTTCTAAGCATCTCCTCTTTTTGGAGGGAAGGGGGACACTTGAATCCACTTCAATGAGGGAGTATCTTTGAACTATAAATAAATGTCATGCCAGACAGTGTTTTGGGGTTTGTTACGTACTTTTTCCTAGCTGTAAGTTATGATATATGTGTTTTGTGCTTCTAGAACAATTTGATGTCTTGCTTTTTCTTCAAGTCAATAAAGCATGAAAACCGTAAATGGGGGAGGAGATTATATTTGTCTGTTGATTTGAGGCATAATTTATGACTGTGTGTAAGTATAATAACCTGTTACCCTAGTATTAAGGCTGCACCTCTTTGGGAATTTTCTGTCATCTCTTCGTGTTGTCCAGTGTCTGGTCTGATCATGTTGAGGATGGTAACTGAAAACACTCATAGCTTGACTACTGCCGTTTTGACACCATTTGCTTTTTATGTAGTGTCAAAAGCATTAATGACCATTAGTCTTTGCTATTGCACCCACCACAGAGTTTGTGCTTATCCAAGTTCATTTTTGTGGAAATAAAAAAAAAATACCTATATATTCTGAACTGAAATGTAAAATGGTGGAAAACATAAAAATAGTGTCTTTATTTAAAAGGTGTTCTTGAAGCAGCTAATATCAGAGCATTAAACAAGAACTAATCTGGGGACTAAACCTTCATATGCGACTTAAAAAAAATCTGCATTGTTTAAAGTGCTCCGGAATTTAGACTTAGGTTAGCTAGGTCCCAGTGTAAAAGGAGGTCTCTCTTTATGTCTATTCTCTCCTAGCCCCGAATACACATGCCAAAAGATGGATTTCAACTTATATCTTCTGGATACCAAGCATGGCTAAAGCAGGTTGGACTGTATTATTGTTATTCATCTCATGTGAGGGACCGTGTTAGACACCTGTGCTTGTCTCATTAGTGAAGTACATAAATGAGGGTGTAATGAAGTTACAGTGCCATGTTAGCTGATACCCCTCATAGCCATCACTGTTTTGTGTTTATGCATGCTGTGTTTGTATAACATTTTCTCACCAGTCTGATGAATGTGCACTTCCTGTAAATAAAAGTTCAAAATGCAGTCACCTGGAAGCGAAGAGGGTCAGAGTCTGAAAACAGATCTACAACAACAGCTTGAATTGCAGAATTAAAATGGGCCTTCAAACACAAAGCTGCATGGTGGTGGTGCTGGTAATAATGGGGAGGCCACTGGGTTAAAACTCAAGAGAATTGCATCTAGCATCTAATTCAGATCTGCCTGGGTGAATCAAGTATGGACACTTACTCACATCACATAACAATTGTGCAGTTTGACACAGTCTGACACTGTGGGGAGTCCCCACTCGGAAGTGGCCTAGTGCTATATTACTCTGGCTATTATTAAAGGCCAGGCTTTAGATGTCTCAGCAGTCTGCCTCTAGCAATTGCTGTCAGCTTTTCACTTTTGTGAGTGAAAAATCTCCCTTCAGAAAGAATAGCTTAATTTACAAATGGCCTGTACAGATCTCTTTGATGAACATATATGATGAATCCCATGTCCTTGAGAATACGTGGCTTAAAGTTGCTGTTTCTGTAGAAAGCCAGAATGTGTTGTTATGGCAACAAAAACTGGAAATATGAAAACAGCACAGATAAGCTGCATCCTGTTGTCATGGCAACTGCAGTTGTGAAGTGACAAAACGTGTGGTGAAGGGATCTTCAAGGTGGTACTGTGAGCCCAACATAAACAAAGAGCCAAGTCACTTGAGCAGAGTGTGAGAATGAAAAGCTGCATCAGCAAATCCCCTTAAAATATGAGAGTTTCACTGAAGGTTCTAACAGGATGGTTTTGATGGTCTCCAATCTTGTGTCAGTATCTTAGAAGCAGTAAATAGTAACTTGCTTGTGCAAACTGCTTATTGCTGTCAACTTACTGACTTCTGTGCAACTGAGCAGAGCTTTGACACCTATTAGAAGATGAGCAACAAATCTTATATTTGCAAACCATTTCTTTGAATGAGTGATGTGCTGCAAGGGTGAAGTGTGCTTTGGAGCTTCTCTCTCTCCTCAAGTCCACTTTAGCGAAGGTCAGTTGGGACACTGAAGCTTATGTTTTCTTGATTTAAACTTTGCTGAGCCGGAGGCAAGGTGTCTCAGAGGAATCTCAACTCTGCAGTTATTGTCTCACAGAGCTCAAGTTTGTTGACCTATGGGGCACGGCATCAGTTTCTGTTTCTTATGTGGGTTGGGAGAACAATAGGAAGAGGACTGTGTGGCTGTTCTGTTTTCCTTTTACTTCTGAGGCAAACAGAGCAGCCTTATATTACCAATGCCATGATGCAGGTGGGATATATGCTTGTTGAGCTCTGAAAAATACCAAGGGGGTAAAAAACTTTAAATGCACAGTAAAATTTCCAAGGAGGCTTTATACTAGCAACCTCAAATAATGGAAGAACTTGCACTTTTTGAAAAAGGTATTTTTTGTAAGTATGCTTTCCCTTTGATTTTTAGTTTATTGATATTAGTTCTAATGTCTATCTCAATCTTCTTACTCCTTGATCCAAGGAAAAGTTATAAACCTGTGCTTGTCAGCAGCAGATACTGTTATGGAAATAGCTTTGCTATTCCAGTTTCGTGCTGTGGAAGTGTAAGGGTAAGGCAGTTGATATCAAGGCTGGGAAGAGCTTTCATGAGAAGGAGAGAGGTTAATTTTTTTTGAGGTGAGTTTGGTTTGGTGTAGGATATCTATCAAAGGTACTATGTGTAGGATTCCTTAAAACTATGTATTGAAAAGAAAACCATTTTTGATGCATGTGAAAGCATAATCTACATATGCATCCAGATGGAATGGGGGCTGTGCATCAAGTTTATTCTCCTGTTGTCTGTATTTTTAATGGGATCCTAACTTAATGATTTTCTTTTCCTCAGCATGGCTGAGTATTGATCTGGTGCCTGACTTACACAGAATGTGAGAAGTATCCCAGGAACACATTGTATTAATGTGGACTAAAAGCAGTTTATATTACAGATGAGGTGGAGGAAGATGGAGTTCTGCAAGACTGGACACATACTATAAATATCCATAAAACTGACAATTTTATCTAAAACCAGTGCTGGCTGCATTTGCGTATTTTCAGCCTTCTTAAACTGGAGATAATAGTTGAACACTACCTGAGCATGAGTTGCCCACACTGATTTCATTACCCTCTGCCCTTTAATGGCAGGTTTTATATTTAATGTTGCTGTGCTGCAATGGAGAGTTGTATTGTGTTCTTATGTGGGCTAGAGGAAATACAATACCAATGGCCAGAAATGCATGTTGCTTTAAGACTGACATTTTAAGTAACCTGCATTGTTCTCTTTACTCTAGCTCTTTCCCGTTTAGGTGTTTGTCTTTTTGTAGAAAATACAGTTGTTTTATTCAGCCTTGATCTTCATTTAGCTTTTGACTTCCTAGCAGTGTCTAACATCCCATCACCTAGGTGCTGCCCCTTTAGAGACAAGCCACAATTGACTTCTGAAGGGAGAAAGGGAGGGAATGTTTGTGTATAAATACAGTTGATAGACATGACATTTTAATTCCTGTATCATATGGACAGTTTCTATAATATAAGCCAAACTATGAAACTGGGCAAGTTAAGCTAATTAGGTAAAACATTTACAAAACCTTATTTTGATTACATAAACGGGGAAGTAAAAGTATCATTTTTAGGTGGCTTCTGAAACATGATAATTCAGAGTTAAAGCCAATGCCTCCCTTTTTCATAGCATTCTGAGCAAGTATGCATCATGGAGGATATGTAATGTAATGCACTCATCTGAGCCTTTCTGCCTCCCACTGTCTTCTTGTAGTAGAATTTTTAAAGCCAAGTTATAAACCTGTAAATGTGTTTTATGCTGGAAATTCTTGGTGATACCTTAACTAGATTGGTACCAGCAAAGACCAGTATAATCAAAACAAGGCACTTCAGATATTAATGGTCTGCACTTCACTCAAGTCAGCTGGAAAAGAGGGTGTAAAAACCAGGACTGTGGTGAAACCAGGATTCTTCTGCTAGAATGCACTTTACTGAGAGAAAAATAAAATTATTCTGGATTATTTTGGTTTTGTAATTTTGTCATTTAGCATCCTTTCCTTAAGTTCTAAAACATGTATTTTCAGTGGATCCATATGCCTTTTAAAATTAAGATACTAACTCCTTAGGTGGAAAGTTGAAATAAGATTTCTTTCTGCAGTTCATTTATTAATACTTGGCACTCATATAGTACATTATGTCCTCACAGTGCTATGCAGGCATATCACTTATCCTTGAAACACTTTTGTGTGGTAGGTGCATAACAATAACTCTGAGAGATTTTTATGGAATTAAATAAAGTTAGAGATGAGGGAAAAATCTAATGAAACTTCCGTTTCATATCTCCACTAATGTAGGTTTTTCTCTGCAGTTTGTGTCATGAAAATAGAAGTTCTAGAAATGTTACAAGATTAAGTAGTTTGAGCACATTCCTTAGTATGCTGTGTTGCTCTGCCTAAACTCATGAGGAATTGTTTGTGATTCATCAGGCTTTAGACACAGAATTATCAAATCATTAAATTTGGCAGGTATTTCTAAGATCGTCAGACAATAATGGATCTTAGTAGTAGCTGTGTTTTCTTGCTTACCAAAGGGCCAAGTGCACTTGGTCTTGTAAAATCTTCATTTTAAGCCTTCACATAGTTTCATGCTTTAGACCTTGGTGAGATTGCTCTTAGTAAGTTGGGTGTTGTTTAAAGAAGCACACACAAGTCTCTACAAGTTTTACTCCTTAAAGAAGGCTATGTCACCTAAATGTTAAAGCTCTGCAGCTGCACTGGTTTAGATTTATCAGCTTCATGCATTAAAGAACTATAATTATGAAAACATTAGTATCGTTGAGTTCAGATGTGAGCAATACAAATCCCTCTAGCACTTGGCAAATGAGGATCTTGTACACCTTATAGATGGAAGTTGGCCCCTAGCTGGGGCATGTAATTTCTGTTGACTTGAAGTCACAGAGGTTGAACTCCAGTAACCACTCTTGGGGAAAACATTTCTTCACAAATGTTTACCTAAAAGCTGTGATTTGATCCTCCAGATCCCACTCAGGTAAGTTATTTGGATAATCTGAATACGTAAATCTTTCTCCATGTGTCTTATCTTTGATATTTAAAAGTGGTTAGTGAATTGGAATATCTTGTAAAAAGTTACTGTTAGCTAGAGAGTTACCAGAAGATTAGAGAAGAGTTTGCATAATACATATGTTAAGGAAAATTTACTGAGCAATTACATGGAGAGTGGGTGGCTGAAGGAAAAAGAACCCTTTACAGCAGTTGGAGTTCTGTGTGCACAGCAAAGCTGGCTGAATGTAGTAACAGCCTGAGGGTGAAGGGGAAAACTGCTGCACTGAAGTCAGTGATCTGTACCAGGGCAAGAAGTCCAGTATTACCTATGTTTGGAATCTAGGAGGAGTGTTATAATTGAATCTGGTAGCATGTTTCAGCCTCTGATTTGTGAGAAATTGTTTGGAAGTCAGACCCTGGTTGTGCCAGAAAAATACACTCAGCTTTCCCAAAGTGAAATGTTGGTTTGCTTGATTTGCAGTTCGTGAAAAATAGTCCAAGGGTCTTTAATGAGCTAGCTGAGCTTTGTTATGACCAAGCAGAAGCACAAACCACTTTGAATCATATCCATACATGCTTGTGGAAATGTGACCAATCTGAACATAATGAAAGGCTAGGAATTGTGCAAAGCACTGGTTGTGACAGGAGCTGCATCTGTCCCTTCATGATTCTGATGCAGTATGTGCAGTTAGAAGAAGTGTTGGTGGGCTGGTAGAGCCCTGCAAGATCCTTCT